AATTCTGCATTATAACAATAAGCAGCATACAAAAATTCATACCTGCAATAAACTATTCAGTGATCTAGATACTTATTCACCAAATTAGAGCTGTAAGCATCAAATCACAATGAACTTTGGAACTATTAAAAGAATTTGTAATTTAAATAGTTTCACTCAATCCCTACTCCCACATGCTTTTAATTAGAAGAGACTTTTTAATTAAGTACTCCCGTGCACAAAGTGCCGCTTGATGATTTTCTGTCATATCAGCCTCCCTTACAAAAGCAAATAATCATTGTGTCAAAGGAAGATATTTGCTCTGAAACCAAACTATAAGAATTCTAGTTCTGATTTCAAGTTGTTCAGTTGAGGCTTTGCATACTAAAAGGAATCCTCTGTTTTCTGAGAAAATGGTGAAAACAGATTTACAAAACAGGGAGACTGATGGTATCAAGGTGTCTAAGATTCAGTCCCTTCCTCTGCATCAGAGTCAGTGTATTTCCTCCAGTAATCTTCCAGTTGCTGTTTAGAGGAAGTGACATAATGGAATAGATGTGGATTCAAGCAAATATCAATTCATTGCATATCTATTTGCTAGTTCTTTGAAAATGTGCAGGATAACTTAAATTTTTTAGGCTTTAATAGCCTATTTGTAAAAGGCACTAAGAATACATTTTTTGTTGAGTTGTTGAAAAGTTTAGATTTGAAATCTGTAAAGTGCTCTGAACACAATAGACTCTTAGAAAATATTATCTATGCTCTTCATAATTATTATTACCTTTATTTCCAATTTGCATGCTAAGTCACTTCAGTTGTCTGATTGTGCAAACCAATGGACTGTAGCCTGCCAGGCTCTTCTGTCCATGGGATTCTCTAGGCAGGAGTGGGTTGCCATGCCCTTCTCCAGGGGACCTCCAGACCCAGGGATTGAACCTCTGTCTTTTAATTCTCCCACATTGGCAAGCAAGTCCTTTACCACTAGCACCACCCGGGAAGCTCCTATTTCCAGTTGATTTGATCTTAAAAAAATTCTTACCCAGTTGAAATATCAGGGAATGATTGTTTCATAAACCATGCTCAGCATCAGGAAAAATATTTCTCTGTGGCCAACAAATACAGAAATAAAGATGATATAGGAAATGATGAGTTGATGTGAGATTATCTAGTTAGCAATGAAGTATAATGTACAAAGGATAGCCATGAAAACAAAACATGAATAAGCCTCTGAGCTTCTAAATGCAAGTAACACACCTCTGAATAATGAAGTCTTAGCCATGAAAACACTCAGAAGTTCCAATAATCTCCATCCTGTAGCTTGCTTTTTAGGGCCTTCTCTAGGGCTCCATCAGGCAAGGACAGAGTATTGGAATACTTATTACATAACATAAAACCATGGCACAGTTTGAATTATGGGCCCATGTATTTTTTCTAGCACTCTTGCCATTAGGCCTGCTCTCCGGTGGTTTGTTATCAGAGGCCTGAGATAGACCTATAGTCCCATAACTCAGAAGCCTGCTGTTAGCTCTCTGGGTACAGCCGTATGTACCCAGATTATTTGCTATAGATTAGCAGGTCAATATAACTTCTCAGGAACAACATAAAATTACTTAAAACTTTTTTTTCCTTACATATTCTGATTTATCCATAAGTATATTTCAATAAGGGCTTCTCTGGTGACTCAGTGGGAAACAATACTCCTGCAATGCAGGAGATGTGAATTCGATCCCCAAGTAGGGAAGATCCCCTGGAGAAGGAAATGGCAACCCACTCCAGTATTTTTGCCTGGTAAATCCCATGGACAGAGGAGCCTTGCAGGCTGCAGTCCATGGGGTCACAAGGAGTCCATGAACATGACTTAGTGACTAAATAAAGTGTTTTAATAAATATGACAAAAATTATAAAGTAGAATTGCTTCAAAGTTAGGCTCTGTAGACAAAGGCAGAGAGAGTTACTCTTCTAGAGTCTGCCTGTGCCTGATAAATTTCTATTTCCAGTTAATTCTAAGGCAGATGATCTCTGATATCTAAGTATTATTGAACCATGAGAATGCCTTAACTATAGCAATTGGGGGCTTCCCTGGTGACTCAGATGGTAAAGCGTCTGCCTGCAGTGCGGGAGACCTGGGTTCGATCCCTGGGTTGGGAAGATCCCCTGGAGAAGGAAATGGCAACCCGCTCCAGTACTCTTGCCTGGAAAATTCCATGGACTGAGGAGCCTGGTAGGCTATAGTCCATAGGGTTGCAAAGAGTCGGACATGACTGAGTGACTTCACTTTCTTTCATAGCAATTGGAATCTATTTTATAGCTAGCATTTTTAATGCTTGATGCTTTCCATCTGTTATGAACATGAGTCAAAAATTTGAGAGACATATTTATTAAAAGTAATTGTTATAGTAGACTAAATACTGAGCACATAAATATGTTTATAATTTTTATAAACATATTTTGTATATGGCTGTGATAAAAATCTTAACAAAATTATTCTATTTTTAATGTATATATTTTTGTTCTAAAATTTAGTTTCAGATAGACTTTTAAATCTCTAAATGCTAATGGAATTATTTATAGCACTTAGACATGTTAATTAATTAATTTCTCCAAAAGTTTAACATTTAAGACTTATTAAAAGCTTTAAAGAAAGCATCATGCTGAAGCATTCTCCTTCTGATACTGATGGAGAAGGAATTATGGCTGCTGCTTTTGTGGGTCTCGCCATGTAAGAAACTTCTCATATGTAACATCAAAGTGAGACAAAGTGCTATGGAATTGATTCTTAGGGTGAGCTCTATTAAGAGATGTTTAATAGTAAGGGACAGCAATGTGAGCAGGGAAAGAGGAGGTACTTATTTTGAAGCTTCTAGAAGGAATAACAGACCTCAGCAGTGCAGAGCTTGGTGTGCGACAGGGTCACTGCATGAGGGAGAGGGGTGACAGATAAGATAGGAGAAGAAAGTCAATGCCAACTATATAGAACCTGGATGAAGAATTTGGCTAGTGGATCTTTTAAAACAATGTGTGTGCTGTGTCCCCAGTCGTGTCCAACTCTGCGACCCCATGGACAGTAGCTCACCAGGCTCCCCTGTCCATGAGAGCTTCCAGGCAAGAATACTGGAGTGGGTTGCTATTTCCTTCTCCTTATAACAATGTGCAAGCATACAATGATTCATGATTAAGTAATGATTTTTGTATAACCGTTCTTTGCTACTGCGTTCCTTCTCCTAATATGCTATCGGTATCACAGACGATTAGAAAATAATCTTTAAGGCTTTAATTTTTTTCTGTAATGGAAAAAGACTTTTAAGAATTCATAATCTTGAAATGTTAATTTTGAGCCAATCATTTCTTTTCCACAAGTATTCTGAAGGACCTCACTGAAGGAGATTTAAATTTTGGGGACAAATGTTTCTCCTCCCCTGTCTAATCTTAGGAAACATTGTCTATTTTTTTAAAAAAAGAAAAGAATGAGAATGATATCTACAACATAAGTGAATACATGAATGATAGAAATATTGAGATAAATTGGAAGGAAAGAAAAGTAGGGTTAAATTAAGTAAAGACTAAGAATTAGAAAATTTTGGTTAAAAGCATCAGTATTCTACTTCTTTGGTTATTTCTATAATTTCTATTACTAGATTTTAAAACCATTTAGTTGCTTTACTTAGTAAAAATCATTATCAAAAATATCTATTAAGAGTTCTGATTTTTAGACACATGATACTAAGAATGTGAAAAACAAACTTTCTTTTTTAATTTTTTATAATATTAGTTTATTAGGTTTATTTGGTCTTATTTATCTACTTTGTATATATAAACCACATGAAAATTGTATCTGATTGTTCATTCAAACCCATACTTATTGAACATACACTGGGTACTAAGATTATACCAATAAACCAGAGTTCATGATATCCTGGAGGCAAAGCTAAAATATGTGGTAGGAATGTATAATTTAGGTACATCAATATTTCTGAGAAGTAGAAAAATGGTTTAACATTGGCTTTAAGTTACTTACTAATTACCACAGATTATGTATAAGCACTCAATTAGCTTAATGTTGAAGATGAAATCTACAAATATTTAGACTCTGTTTCCTAAATCACTGTAGTTTATTTCTAGTTCCTTATGTATTAATTCTTAAAGTTACCAGACATTTTGCAAACACTTGCACTGCAATAAGCATTTTTCAAATGTTTGAGAACTTTCCTTTTCTATATATCTCCTACTATAGATACTAAATTATGTGAAATTTAAACACTTTATACAAATATTTCAAAAGTTTAAACCACACCACAAAGTGGACAGTTGAGAGGGTAATAGGTTTATGTTTTGTTTTGTTTTTCCTCTGGATTTTTAATTTCTTATTTATGCTTCATTTTAGTAGATTTTTTTGAAGATTTAATTTGCTTTTCTTTTTCACATAGCTGTGTTTCTCAACTGGTAAAAGTTGAGTAATACATTTGCATCTTAACATTTATTATTCTATTAATCTCACTTCAAGGTGGAAAGATTATAGTTCATTGATATTGATGAAATAACCTGGATGACTTTCATATAAATAGCAACAAGTATGCACATGAGTTGCATTACATAGTATGTTTAACAAGACCTCTAAGGAGTAAGATGGGAGCTCAGGCTTTCATAATGGAGATATATCTGAGTGCATTCAGAAAAAAATTGGTTCTGCAAGCTGGAGGAAGTAATTGTCATTCAACAGAAATCAACTAGCTTTGCATATCAGTAAAATACACACACATACTCTTACCTATTTTCTGAGTGCTCTGTACTGATATCAAAATAGCAAATATATATTTATGAGAATTTATGAAATGTTGTATTCTTTTCAAACATATAAACTCAATGTAATTATGAAATTAACTTTGAGAATATGTGAAAAATGTTGCTTCCTAAATAAGTGAAGATAGAGTAAAACCCACAAATTTTATATCAGGTTGCATAGTTTTTATTTTCACATTTGTCTCCAAGATGTCATATAATAATTTTTTCTTGTTCATTTTTAGATGGAAGACTGTATTTGAAAACTACTGTCATGTACTGAATCTTTCCTGTTGAAGAAACCCATGTTATAGTAAAGAACTCTGCAGTCAGACATTCGTCATTGGAAAGTTTGGAAAAAAATAAAGTCCTTTTAAGGGAACTTCCTCAATTTTGTGTATTAATGTTCTTTAAAAGTTTAAGTATTCTACAAAAAAAGGTTTTCCTTTATTGATTTTCATCTGTGGTTCATACCAGAGACCTGAGAATGTTTGTAAATGTACACGTATCAAACTTCATACAGTTAATAACTGCAACTTTGCTGCTGGACACTTGTATACAGTTTAAAAGCAGGTCTGAATGAGACCTACCTTTGTTTTTTTAATGGAATGAACCATTTTCCTCTTCTGAAAATTCTGTATCTGAGCACATCAAGACTCTTGTAGCACTGGTCACCTAGACTTACAGAATTATGTCCTCCAGAAACCAGCAAGGACACTTGGAAATGAGCTTGTAGAGGCCATAGAGGATTCCTAAAAAAAATCAGTAAATCACAGAATAATATTCTGTTACATTCTATTTTAAACTCTCTAAATGTGGTTTTTCTCCGGAAGATTTTTGTCTCACGTACTTTCCAAAAGACCAACAAATGGATATTGACAACAGCCCCGTGAAATAACATTTTGCATATCTGAAAAGAAGCATTGGATATAAGCCAAAAGGTTTCACTGAAGGTCTTTTTACCTTAAAATATATATAAATGTAACATGTTTTCATTCCAAACTGGTAGTGGTATATAGAACTTAAAATGATCAGGATGCTTCTTCTTCAAACTGTTGGTCACATGTACAGTATATAAACATAAAACATACAAGGAAGGTATTATGTATGCAGTAGTATACTAGAGTTTAGGAAAATGAAAATTTTAGAAAATATGTTTTGTCACCCTGTTGGTCAGAAAGACACCTTTCTGGTTTTAACGCATGCAGGCATGTAAATATTTGTCTGGAGTCACAGTATTAATGAATGAGATCTTATGCATCTGGTGACAACAGAACTCTGTGTCAGCCACTTTTATTTGTATATTGAACCCTAGTTAGTGCCCCAAACTGCACTATTGAGAATGGATTGTGGCTGAATAGTAAATCAAAACACCAGAAATATTTTTATATGTTAATGTCATATTATGTTAATGTTGCTGAAAGACAAAACCTAACAAACTCTTGATCCTTGATGTATCAGTCCAATACCATGTAGCGCTGAGTGATAAAGTTCAAATGTGTTGTGCTTCCCACCCTGGTCAGAGGGAAGGGTGCCTATGTGTTATTTTCACTGTCTTCTTGAGAGTTACCATATGTGTTTTCACTTTTGTGCAGATAACTGGAAGTCAAGCTGCAAACAGTGCTTACTACATGCTGAAGTTACCTTCTCTTTGTTTTTACATACTTGGAGTTACACCTTTAAAGACTGAAATCATGAGTCAGTACAGTTGCTGGACATTTTATGATTTTGCTGTCATCTTAAAATTTTATGATCGTAATATTATTTATTACCATAAATAGCAAAATCTTAAATGGCCAAGGAAACTAGCTTAAAAATGTTTAAAGATAGTTCTCATTGGCTATTAATGATTTGGATAAGAAACTAACATTATAGATACACTGGCACTAAGCTTCTATAGTTTTTAGGTCTTCCTTGCAATACTGAAACATTTCTTTTGTGTAGCTCGCTATTAACCAGCTAAGGCCATTTTTAATACAATTAAAAGGTTATATATGCAGTTCCTATTTTTAGCTTGCTTAAAAGGGAGCAATATTTTTATTTAAAACACTGTTATTAAGTGCTTTATAGAAACCAAGTTTATAGAAACTTGGTTTTCTAAGCATAGTTCTTCCATAAACATCTTTTGTTATTTGAACACAAGAGATTTTATTCCTTGTTGTATGTATCTCTTGCTTTTCCCTGTATGCAGTCTTTAAAGGATTATAACACTTAAAATCAGAGGGACTTGTGGCAACCTTTTGAATCATACATTTTTTGAAAGCTTTTTTTTAAAAGCCCACAACTTCCATAAAGTAGTAATCAGCCATTGCTCTGCTTCTTGCATAGAGTCACCTGTTAAGTAGGTTAAATAGTTTTAAAATACATATTTTCCAGACCTTTGAGAATGCTTTAGTGTTTGGTTCACCATAAAAGGAAATTTTAGAAAGGAATAAAAAAAAAAAGCTATCAGCTATATGCTAAGAGAGAATCTTACTAACATGTTGTAAATATTACAAGTCAAGAAATGTTATTTTAAGTCTGTAACTTAAGTTTTTTCCCCTTTATTAGTTATACAGGTTGGTTTAAAATTCATTTTTTGGTTTAAACAAGTAAAATTGTGTCCATTTTATGGTTTCCATGCTTTTGTAATCCTAAAATTATTAATGTCTAGTTGTTCTATATTATAACCACATTTGCGCTCTATGCAAGCCCTTGAAACAGACCATACTCATCTTCATGTAGGACCTATGAAAATTGTCTATTTTTATCTATATATTTAAAGTTTTCTAAAAATGATAAAAGGTTATTACGAATTTTGTTGTACAAAATCTGTACAAAAATCTGTTTTTACATCATAATGCAAGAATTGGAAATTTTTCTATGGTAGCCTAGTTCTTTGAGCCTGGTTTCAATGTGAGAACCACGTTTACTGTTATTGTATTTAATTTTCTTTTTCTTTTCAACAATCTCCTAATAAAACTGTCTGAAATCTCCCAGTGACTTTATTTATAGTTCATCTTTATTAAATTTTGTGAAATGCATAGCATTGAAGGAATATTTACTTTCTAATGGGAGGCATCTAAAAACAACATAAGTCAGCTCTTTACAATATGAAGGGAACAATGCTCAATGATTTTATTTAACATGCAACTGCTTCTATCTCTAATATGAATTACTGCGGTGAAAAACATCATAAAAGCACACTCTGTAGTTATTGTTTAACAAGCAGATTTTCCATATTTTGTTTCTTGCCAGCTAAGCAAACTGCCCACATATACATGATTTATTTATGTACATTTTTCAGTTTATGAAGCTGTTATTTGTACCTTTTTCCTTTATATTCTTATATTCCCATGATTCTTATTTCACAAAGCTTTGTGCTGAATAATGTAAAGGAGACATGTTGATGGAACAAAATATATTATTCCCATATCTATAGGAGTGTAGATTTGTAACTCTAATTCAGTGCTTTGTTTTTACTCTCTATCATTGGAAAAAAATGCTTTTAGAAACTTTGCAATTCCAATAGCCTTTAATAATATAAAAGTTTTGCAATTCCAATAGCCATTAATAATATAAAAGTTTTAATCAGTCCAAAATGCAGCACTTAAGGAAATCACAGATACTCTGTGAATACTCCAAACATTCCCAAAAGAATGGAAAATGATTTTTTTCTGTCTAAAGAAATTATTTCAATGAATTAACAAATAGTGATAGATCCCTAATAAAAACCTCAAATGTTTATGTGACCACTACAAACACATTTTTGTCTTCTGTCCTCACAGGTTCATGTTGGTAAGACTTGTATTAGAATATCATATGGCCTGTGGATGTTAGCGGAATTTGGTGATGATTTAAGGTTTCCCCCCATGTGTTTTCATTGGCATTAGCAAATTTACAATATGAACAAAAGTTATTTATTACTAGAGGAGAGTAAATTATAAATAAAATTTACATGGATTGCATTTTTACAATATGGGGAGTAGAGATGTTAATAGAATTAAAACATTGCAAATGACATTGTAAATATATCACTTTTCTTCATGCGTAGGCTTGGTGCTAACATTTATCTTTCATATGTACAACTGGTATATAAAAGCTGAACTGATCCTCATTTATTCCTTTATACAGATTCATTAATAAAGTCTCATTCTGCAGAAAGCACAGTGCTAAATGTTGTAATGAATGAAAACATAGCTTTGCCCCAGAGGAGCTTATAATTTTGTTGGAATAGGAAGTCTTACTTTCAGCAAGAGAAGAGTCACTGAGTGTCTCCTAGTCTGCCATGGATGTAGAACTAGTGTCAAGAGGATATTGACTTAGATGCCTTCTTAATAAGTGATAACAATCTATATCCATTTTGCGCATTCACTTTCTAGTGACTAATACAAGACAGTTCGCAGGTCAGACAATTCTGCAGAGATTGAGAAGGATATATTTCCCTCTATGTAAAATACCATAATAGTTATTCTTTTTCTGCTACTTTTCATGTATTTCAATCACATCACTCTTCTTGCCAATCCTCACAAACTTTGTGTTTCTTTTAATTTATTTATTTTTAATTAAAGGATGATTGCTTTACAGTATTGTGTTGGTTTCTGCCACACATCAACATGAATCAGCCGTAAGTATACGTATGTCCCCTCCCTCGTGAATCGCCCTCCCATTCTTCTGCTCCTCTCAGTGACTCCGCTTCTTTCTCCCCTCATTGCAGGCATACATGTTCCTCTTGATGCCTCTGTTATTCAGGAGCATAAGATCCCACCCATCGAGGCAAACCAGTCATTTTCTCTCTGTCCTAAGCTAGATTATCTGAGTTCTGATTGTTTCAAGTCAATGCATGTGGCAGTAAGTTAGCTAGGTACCGCAATACATGCATTTGGGGAATTTGAGAAACTACTGTGTCCAATTAAATTGGAATTTCTGGGGTTTGGGGCTGCAGCATCAGGATTTTTAGGTTCCTCAGATGATTCTAATAAGCAGCCAGATTGAAGATCACTATCTGGGAGGGTAGCAAGTAACACATAGAAAGTGACTAGCAGGTCTTCTGCAATGGGGTTGACAGGTAGCTCAAGTGAGTGAGGTCCCTTGTGAACTGTACAGCCACTACAAAAGCCAACTAATATTTCTGTAAAAGCATTAAAATGATCTAAAATCTGTAAATAATTAACATGCATTTTAAAAGTAATTTCAGCATTGTTAACAATGCTGAATTGAATATGAATTTGCAGTTCTATCAGATACAGTGGAAGTCACATTACTGTTTCTAAATAAAATTATTGGCTCATATGACTTCAGACTAAGTACACAAGGAAATAAAACTTTCATTTCAATCATCACTGAGACTTCTTCCTTCTGAATGACCTCAGTTTGAACATTTTTCACAGTCCAAACCATTTGGGGAGAACTCTTCAGATTTTCATTCCTATGATTCAATTTTTGAGAAGCTGTCCTAAGCCCTTCTCTTTGGAGAGACTCCAGATTTGTGAGAGAAAAACTTATGACGCATTGTGGTGTGAGTCTCAGTGTGGGGGAAAGGAATATTTTAAACAAATAATTTTGTAAATGGGGAAGTATAAAGTTGTGTGAAAGGAGTAATGTTTCTACTCTTTGTTTGTACTGGTAAAATGTCATTCAAGACAGACTGTGATAAGTTTATCATGTGGAACGTGATACCAGGAGCAACCACTAAAAATGTTGTAACAATATATACCCTTAACAACAGTGTAGATAAATCACAATGGAGTTCAATGCTGTAGTAAGATTAGCTTTCTGATAAAAAAGTAAATACTTTTGGATAATTCATCAGATACTTTGCTAGTAGTTTCCATCTTCTCTGAGGTACTTTGGTTGTTCTTTTAACAATGCTAATTCTGGGCCAAACTTGGTCCACTACTACAGATAAAGATGAGTTAGTTGATACATCTCTAGCATGATGCATCTCCATTTTCTTTGTATTGAGTGTATTCTCGTCAGTAATATATTTCAAATCTTTATTTTTTAAGTAGAGACTGAAATGGTAAATATTAAGTTTTTTGAATTTGTTTTTAATTTAATTTTTCTTTTATATTGGAGTATCACTGATTGACAATGTTATGTTCATTTTCAGGAGTGCAGCAAAGTGACTCCATTATACATAAAAATATACATATATTTTCTTTTCAGATTCCTTTCCCATACCGGCTATTACAGAATATTGAGTAGAATTCCTTGTGCTATATAGTAGGTCCTTGATGACTATTTACTTTATATATATATATATGTAATGTGTGTATGTTAATCTGAAAGTCCTACTTGATCCCTCCCCCCTCAACATTTGCATTTTAGAAATCGCACTGTTAAATTCTATTCCAAGTGTGAGGAGCTGAGTTGATAACCACTCAGCCCTTCTCTTACTAATTCATCTTGTTAGATTTACAAAGGAAAATGCGCTCCCATACAGATGGATCTTTTATTTAAGTCCATCTGGTTGTTATGTAACTGGGTTTCTTTATGATCAATATTTTTTGGTTCCTAATTAATACATTTTGATGCTTCTTAGTACATGCTTCACAGGCTTTGCTTGTATCTCTCCCACAGATAGCTGCTATACGACAATAGGTACATTTCAGCATCTAAATGAATACGGGCAAAGTTTTAGAAAGTGGAGTTCCCAGCACTACAAGCAGAACTGGACAAGAATGCAGAGTCTGATTTAAAAAAAAAAAAAATCCTATAGGCAAATAATCTAATAGAACAATGTATTTTTAGGGTTGAAATGGGTTTCTACCCCAAGATGGGAGTAGTAGAAAATTCTTAATTGACCAACATAAATGATGCTTTAGCATCTAGATTTGACAAGTATTTAAAGATATCTCCAGGTTTTGGGGACACTACATCTTCCCTGGGGAGTTTTCTCACTTACAGTTGCTTCAGTGCAGCCAAATGTACCTCTAATTTGGGCAGGTTACTTAGGTGTCCTCTTTTATCTACTGAATTTTCATTGTTCCTACCAGGTGAAATTCCAACCTGAGATAGACACTTGTCCTCTGTGTCCAATAGCTTCAGACACTCTGGTCCTCTTGAGGTCTCTTCTCTAGACTTTAGATGAGAGACAGACACCCTTCACCCTCTATGGGTGATTGGAGGGAATTGAACCTGGAACAATCCACAACCCTCAGAAACATTTTTACTTCAATTATTCACCTCATTTCTTTAATTGATTTTATAATTTGTAGGTGGATGGACAGCTGAAGCCAGAAAATTAGTTTTTAGATAACTATTTGCAAGTTCTGCCTGATGACCTTGCATCTTACCTTAGAATATGGTATCCATTTCATTCATTAATTGATTAAATTTTTAAAATTACTTTAAATTTTTGGAGATAATTATAAACTAAATGCAATTATAAGAATTAACAAAGAGGCATCCCATATCCACCACACATTTTCTTCAAGGATCACATTTTACATAAATATAGTATAGTAATAAAACTGAAAAATAGATTTGATAACATCTACAGACTTTATTCAGATTTCAGCAGAATTATATGCACTTATTTGTGTGTGTATGTATGTTTAGTTCTGCACAATCTTATCACAAGTATAGATTACTACGAGCACCACTACAGTCAGGATATAAAATATTTCCATCATAGGGATGCCTCATGCTATTTCTTAAATTAATTTTTATTGGAGAATAGTTAATTTACATTGCTGTGTTAGCTTCTTCTGTGTGTGCTTAGTCACTCAATTGCATCCAACTGTTTGTGACTCCAAGGACTGTAGCCCGCCAGGCTCCTCTGACATTGGGGATTCTCCAGGCAAGAATACTGGAGTGGGTTGCCATGCCCTCTTCCAGGATATCTTGCCAACCAGAGATCAAACCAAGGTCTCCCACATGGTAGGTGGATTCTTTACTGTCTGAGCCAGCAGAGAAGCCCAGTTTCTTCTGTAAATGGTCTTATTTTTCAAAGCAGAATAGAGACACAGAAGTAGAGAACAAACCTCATGCT